GCCGTGTTTTCGCTACTTAGTCGTTGATCCGCGTGTGCCCCACTTGATATCTCAAAGTCAAGGCAGAGCCATCGTGAGAAAACACGGAGGCTCGTTTCCTCTCTTTCTTTCTCTCTCGACAGTCTGGCCTCGTTCCTGCAAGGAGAAAAAAAGGACGAAAGTAACGAGAAGAGAAATCGCGAAGCCAGAAAACTATGATACTTAGGTGAAACATGCTCGTTCCGGACTGGCTGGCAGCCGCAAAGATTTGAATCATTCAGAGCGGGGTGCGTTTTCCAAAGCGAGCGGACTAGTTTAAACCCATGCCACCACCACGATCTTTGGCGAGTATAAATGGCGCTGCTCGCCATGTTGGCAAGGCAGACCAGGTTTCCAGGGGCTCGAGAAGTCCCCAAGAGCCACAGGGGGGGAATAGAAATAGCAGCAGCAATCTAATCCAGGAACTTTGTGGTATGTTGCTCTTTCGGTCTTCTTCTCCACAAGGGCGTGCTTCATTCGATCTTCTCTGAAATCCCTTCGCACTTTTCTCTTCAGGTGGAACTCGAAAGCACTGACTGGAGCCGGAGGAAATCCAACCATGAGGACCTCTCAAGTACGAGGCCTCGGCCTCGTACCACTGCTTCTAATGGTACTAGTAGCAAATGCATATGACGTTGATCCTCCATCCCCGGACTACAAGTCTCCTCCTCCACCAAAATACGAATACAAGTCCCCTCCACCTCCAGAGTATGATCCATCACCTGTGTATGAGTACAAATCGCCTCCACCCCCCAAGTACGAGTACAAATCTCCACCTCCACCCCTGAAGTATGATCCATCACCAGTGTATGAGTACAAATCGCCTCCACCACCGAAGTATGAGTACAAATCTCCACCTCCACCCCTCAAGTATGATCCATCACCAGTGTACGAGTACAAATCGCCTCCACCCCCCAAGTACGAGTACAAATCTCCACCCCCACCCCCAAAGTATGATCCTTCACCGGTGTACGAGTACAAATCCCCCCCTCCGCCGAAATACGAATACAAGTCCCCGCCACCACCACCAAAGTATGATCCATCACCTGTGTATGAGTATAAGTCACCACCACCACCAAAATACGAGTACAAGTCTCCACCTCCTCCTAAGTACGACCCTTCACCGGTGTATGAGTACAAGTCTCCACCCCCACCAAAGTATGAGTACAAGTCTCCACCTCCTCCCAAGTACGATCCTTCACCGGTGTATGAGTACAAGTCTCCACACCCACCAAAGTACGAATAC